GAAATGTCTGAGTCAAATGTAGTGGTGGACTTTCTTAGAATTCCTTAGTTAAAAGAAAATAGAATAAGTCTAGTTTAAAAATCTACCTTTTCCTATATTTGTTTGAAAATGTTTTTTTTTTCAAAGGTTGGCACTAATGTGTATTTTGATGGTAGATAACTTCAAATTGCTATATTGCATTTTTCCAAGAAGTATAGACTTCATCTAAATTTCCGTTTGGAAATTCAGTTCTAATACTGTGTAGTTTATCAGTTATTCTTCTTTTAATTTAGCCCTTACATGAATTCATCAGCAGATCCCGTACTTAATCTTTGCTATTTCATATCACAATACGTATTTATTTATCTACATTAAACATTAATTTCTAAAGTAATATACGTCAAATGTTGATTTCTCTGTGCCACAGAGTTTAAAAACCAGGTGGAGATCAACTATAAATTACTATATCATTTGCATATAATTATAACAACCATGACAAACACAGTGAGGAAGGTAAAAACAACAGCGGCTTCATGTTCTGCCGTTCTAGATGGAACCTCTTTTACACACCAAAAGTTTTCCCTGATAGCTTCAACAATCTATTTTGGTTCCTATGTAGAACAAGCAAAAGAAGGAGTTGGATTAGATGTTAGCTGCTGTCCTGCTCACATTGTGCAATTACTTTTCAACAAAGTAAAGGAGAAAAAACATTGAGTCATACCAAGATCAGTTTTCTGTGTCAGTATTAGCTACACTGACCGTCACTGTTACACTGAATTAGAGTTTGCTCTGACTCTGGAATGACGCAGACGTGACCGGAGCGCCTGCCCCTCACTTTCTTATCAGATCATCCAGTGCACAAATATGGGCTGCTCCTCACTTGACTGTGATGCAAGAATCGCTGTCTTTGTCTCAGCAGCGTCTAAAGCAAAACTGACAACGGGAGACCTGGTCCTGTCAGCACGTCATAAGTCACTTAGTCATGGAATTGTTGGAGTGAATAGAAGTGGTAAGGTCTAGAGCTGCATTCCAGAGATGCTTTTGGTTCTGCGATTGTCACTCTACACAGCACTCTCATAGGTACAAGTGGAGATATTAACTAAACAAGATGCATTTTCCCCTTTTCCCCCTGTTTCCAAGCAGCATAGTTAGTAACTTTTGACCCATTGCTCGCTTAGCAGACTTTTTGACACAGTCTGATGAGATTCTCTCGTTTTGTATTAGGCAGCAAAACAAGCCAAGTCCTTCACGAAATCAAAGGCTTTGAATCAAAAGACTGCACTGAATACTGATGTAAGCTGTGCAGAGCTGAGGGGAAAGCAGTGACCTCTGAAATGAGGTGTGAGGAACTTAGCAATGCTTTGATTCACTCAGAAATATCGAGTCATTTACCAGACTCAGCAATATTATCAGAAATAATAGTTTAAAAATATTTTGCTGACCATCCAGATTTATTTAGTGACCACACAGGGAATATTCACACAAGTAACATGACACTGCTCTGCACTGTGTTGTTCTAACCTACATTATTACTGCAGTTGACCTTTTGGAGGCGATGACCAGACGCAGAGCACACGTTGTCTCTCTGATGAATGGCACGGTTTTGGTGTGGTAGATTCTAAAAAGACATATGACACGGTCGGTTCCCTCTCACGTCCGCTTCCTGTTGCCGTTGACAAACAAGGGCTTGGATTTCTCAGCATGCCAGGCATTCTTTTCACCCTGTCTTTCCTGGAGTTTTGAAAGGCGTCCGAGCCACCCACCCAGAATCGGCCCGGCATAAAGCCACAAAAAGCTGCAGGGTTATTCAGTTTGTTCTAAGCTCTCTTCCCCGTCGGCTGTTTGCCTAGTAATTCAATTCAGATGTGCAGGATCCAAAAACATGTTTGCTTGAATGAAATCCACCCCTCCACCCACAGTGACCAAGGACGGTGCTTTTCTTAGCACTGTTCCAAGTTGGACAGCCAAAGTGAGGTTCTGCCACCTCTGCCTTTTAGCTTCAAACCCTCTTAGGAAACAGACATCTTTTCTCAGCACGAGCCATAACCAAGTTTTAGCAGTACGTGTGTTTTTATTTTCTTTTAAACATTCCTCTAACCCAGTCCAATTTCTCTAAGAGTCATACTGTATTTTCCCTCGCTAACTGAGTGCTATGCACCGCTGCCGACATGTTTGCAACCAGCCAGTCTTGTTTAGAGAGCTCAGTTTCTGTCTCTCAATGCAGATACCATCTGGTTCCAGGTCGAGCTTTATCCCTCCTATCATGAAGATGTTGTTTATATTTAAAACACGGCTCATGTTCCTTGTGGTTTCCTTATTACACTTGCTTGTGGCTCATGAAGCCAGACATACGAGGCTGACATGGGCTGGAGGAATATAACCTCCACACATGGGCCATGTAAAGGAAGGCATTGATACATTAGTGTTTAGTTTAAAGTCACGTTCAAGCCATTAGTCTAGTTTTTCACTTCTTACAAAAACCACATTTTATGTTCTCAGACATTTGAAAAGCTTAATTGATTTAACTTAGTTAAAAAAATTATGTTGATTTTGATCAATGGCATTGAGAAAGGCAGGACGGTTATGTAGGTTTGAGGCCTGCATTTTTACCACATTTTACTGGAGATGAAACAATTGAAACTTTGAGCCACGGTTCTGGATTGGTGCATTCCAGAATATGAATAATTAAAAGGCATCATTTTAAATTCCCACAGTACTGCTTCCCAAAATCTGTTGGCATACAAAAGTCTCCAACAACGTTCACAATACAGAGGGAAAACGCAGGCATAATGTACTCAAACAAGAGTAGTCAACAAAGCACAGCATAAATATAAATGACGTGTGAGGCCTGGGATTTAGACAGAGCAGCTCAATGCTATTCCTGTCATGAAATATAATCAAAATCTCTTTTTTTGCCCTTTTTTAAAATCCTGGCCTTTGAGAATCATCACTTGCGTTTTCCTTACATGATCTTCAGGCCAAATTATACACCACTGAATTATGGGTAGAGCTCAGAGTCAGAATTAGAATTGGTTTTATTGCTTAAGTTCTGTATGTGTGCACATAGGAAGGCTTTAACTCCTGTTACCGATACGGCTGCAAATAAACAGTAGCAGCAGTTAAATGGATACATACAGAATTTCTTTAAATAGAGAATAATTATTTTGGAGATTTAAAATGAAATCAGTACTGTTCTTCTGGACTGTGGTTAAAATAAATGATCCAAAATGTTCTTTTTATTCTAAATCTTCTGCTAGGTTTCGTTGACCTAAAAATAGCAC